CAATTCTTGTGCTAGGTGAGGAACAGTTTTGTTTGAGGCTGGAGGTAATGAATCCCAGCACAGAGAGAGGGCAGCACAGTTTTCTGCCTCTTGCTTACCACGGCTGAAAGTTTCCCACTAGCTCTGAGCCTGCAAAGCAGAGACTACCATATTATCACCCCTGTCTGTGTTGATAAAGGAACAGTTCTGGGCACATAACATCTGGATTGTCTACAAATATGACACAATTTACAGAAGTCCGTCCCTGGAAAGCTGTGGAGATGTAAAACCAAGGGTTGAGCTTAATAAAAAACCTAAATCTTGTCTGCTGAAAGGTTAGAAAAATCCCTGTATTTTCACAATGCTGAGAGTAGAGGTCTGTTACTGTTAGTGATAACACCTTTGCCATGGCAGCTTAAGACAGATGGCCATTACACTGACAGGACTGCTGAGGAGAAGGAAAAGCAGCCCTGTCTGCATGCTGACCCTGCTAGGGAAAGTTTCAGTTTTAGGTACGATGTTGACTAGGTGGCCATCATTCAGCTCTCTGTATCCTGTGCTTCGTGCAGTGAGAGGCTACACAAGTGAAATTAAAATAAAGTCAGGGCATGAGCTTGAGCAGTGTTGCTACTGTCCAGATTTTTTACATTGTTAGCACAGACTCTGCTCTGATTTTAGCGTGTGCAAGTTAGTACTCTCCCAGATAGTGGCCATGAATGGTCTGGGGAATAGCCTGGGCCGAGGACCTTTCCCAAAAGGCGTTTGGATACGGCTATCTTGTTTTCAGTGGGCAGAAGGGCTTCATCTGATGATGGTGAGATGTTCTGTGCCATGTAGCCTTGAGGCCTGACCACAGTTCTTGACTCACTTTATTTTCTTGCACAAACATAATCACTGACTCCAATGAAAAAGATTTGGGATCATTATTTTGTCAAGTACTCACTCTGATTTTCTTCTCAGTAGGGAAGATACAGCTTTTTCTTTTTTATGTCAGTTAAGTTCAAAACCCAGGTCAATGGTAAAATCCTTATTAGAAGCAATGCTTTAGCCAGACATAAGTCACACTTCACACACTGCTCTATATAAAAATGTATGAAGAAGAGGCAGCAGTGATGACAATGCTGAACCATCCTCTAGTACAGCAGAACTGGTGTGCCATTTGCCTTTGCACAAGGAACAATTAAGTAAATTAGGGTTCCTTCCACAGGATTCCTAAAACAAATGGCTGAGGAAGGCAAGATGGCAGAGGTCTGTAAAAGAAGAGGGGACTAAAGAATTTTTTACTATCTCTTCAGTATAAGAACGAGGGCACATCCAAAGAAAATGTACAGCTGAACATTCAAGACTTGAATGGGATGCAGTGAAAAGAATTACTTCTTCACAAAACATGAAGCTAAGCTGTGGAGCCCCTTGATGCAGGTTGCTACGTGTGTCAAAAGTTCACACGAGTTCTACAACTGATTGGTCAAATTCATGGAAGAAAAGCCTGTCAAGGGCTACTAAATTTGAAGATGTGACATTTGACTCGGGGACGCCTTGCTCCTCCAGTTGGTTAGAACTGGGTGAATATTCTAGGAAAAACCACAACAACTGTGCAATTTCCTGGATATCTGTTGTTAGCCACTGCTGTAGACATGATATGGTGTTAGACAGATCTTCCATCTGTATCAGTATGGCTGTATTATGTTCTGCTCTGCCTGGGGGACAAGAGGGTCTTCCTCTGCCTTTCCTAGGTAAGACTAGGAAGCAAGAGGTGGTCTCTCTCCCTTTGCTGGCCACAAGTTGCAGGAGGAGGAGGAACAAGAAACCACTCCTCCACCCACAGGAAATCTGGAGGATTTGAACAGCACTGAGTATTAGACAGCCTTTGTCTGCTCGCTATTTCCATCTCTGTTCCTGAGCTTATATTGACATTTGGATGAAGAGAGAAGACTCTTTGGTACAGGCCTCCTGTACCAAACAGCTGCTCTTTCCCAGAGGCTCATAGGTAGAACTCAGCCTGAAGTGAACTCCCAACCAAGAGAGGATTTAACCTTTGTCCAATAAGATAAAAATTTGACTGTGATTCACCCTTACTTTTCAGGAACTGTATTTCCCAACTTGTAACTCAGTCTCCAAGAGGGCTCGTTCCTGGGTCAATACAATGAGCCCAGGACAAAGCTCAGTGGTCTGTGATTAGGAAGTCACCCAAGCAGGTGGTACCCCTGGCCTTCAGGTTTGTGACCTGCTCCAAGAACATGGCCTCATTTAGAGAAGAAGCTCTGAAACTGTAAAAGCTCTGAAAATGCTACATAGTGCATTAAAACCAAAATGGCAGAGTAACTCCCATCTCTCAGCCTCTTGTTTCCTAGCAGGGATATGCCTGCCTCATGAACAATGCTAGGCACAAGGGCTTGAGTAAATCGTACAAGCACAGCTATAGATAGAGTCCTCACAGAATATTATCAGTCCTGAACTTCTTGCAAACGTGATCCCTTTTTGAACTCATTTGTCTTCACACAACACTTGAACTCCAGCCTTCCTGAACTCCAGGAAGAGCTAATTGCTTGCAGAATCTTCCCTTAGACTGTGGCAATACACGGCAATACCTGCAGCCACACATTACAGCTGGCTGTCATCTCCCAGTCTATGGGAACTGAACTTCTAAGAGTAATGAGTCAGCATAATTTGGTTTTATTATTTTTTTTCTTTTTGTAAAATGGCTGATTTATAATATACACATTAAAAAGCTTAAAAGAAAAATTTTGCTATTTTTTTCTAATCTTTCACAACCTTCTTTGAATCACAGTCACGACCACTAGTACGGGAAGCACTGAATTAAAGGCTACTTTCCTATACCTTCTATAGTCAGCAAATACTCTACCTCTCTCTACTCTACCTGATATGTAAAATAAAACTTACTTCATATTCCTTCCAAGTTCCATCCCTTATACAAGGGCTGCCCTTCAGAATTTCCTTTAGAAAGTGGAGAAAAAATCCTCTTTGGTACAAGAAGGATTACTTACCTCATTGCCTAGTGTGTTTGTCCTGGACTTGCACTTCCCCACACTGTCTCCTCTCTTTTTTTTTCCTTTTTCCCATAGGAAGGCGTTCTATTTTTGTGCTAATACTGTGCCATGGTTCTGCTATTTTTACAGCTCTGTTTTGGTGCTTCAAGTCTTTGTGAATTAAAGAAGATGTGGCTGACTGTAAGGTTTTTTGTCTTCTTTCATTTTCTGACAGATTCTCACCAGTACTGTGGACTGCTTATCCAGATATTCAACTGAGGGATGGAGGGAAAATCTAGTGACAGTAAATGCAGGGGGGGAGCTTTGCTAAAATAAGTAATTCCTGTAATAAAACTAAACCATTTAACACATAGTGAGCTGGTATCACAATGTGAAATTCTGCAAGTAGGATGGATGCATAGTGGAGCCTCCAAGAAAGAAGCAGGACTCCAAGAAATCTCACAACTGAACTGACTACAGCAGTTCCTTAGTACACATTTAGAAAGATTGAGACCTACCACTCAAACTTTTCACAAATTAGCTTAAAAGATGCTCCACATAAAATATGCTAATACGTCAGTTAGACTTCTACTCTTCTTTCTTCCCCGTATGCCTCAAAGAAGACCTGAAAGAATCTCTCCCTTCCCTCTCTCTATCTTTTCAATCTTAGAAATGTCAGGAATGCAATATCCTGTTTTCTTTGGTTTTGCTGGGGGGGGCTTGTGGGTGCTTTAGGAAATGTTTAAATGCTGAAACTTTATTAAAGAGCTCTACTGCCCAAAAGAACTTCATTAGTCATGGACAATGAAAGACTATTAATAGCAACATCAACAATATGCAAACAAAAAGTCAGAAGAGCGTTTAAAAGCCTTTTATTTTCTCAAATGCTAAAGATCCTCTCCCTTCAGTCTTGTGATAGCCTCACTTCATTACTCTGCAGTCAGCTTTTCTGTTTGTAAAACTGTAATTTCTATTGTAAACGCCTCTTTCCAAAAACTCTCTTCTGCTTTTGAAAAAAGACACCTCTTTCAAGGTTTTTGCAATCCATCACAAAAAGGTAAAAGAGATCCCATTTTTATCCCTTTGAAAATCACAATTTTCAGTTTTGAAACAATACAACTTTTAAGAACACTAGCCTTGAAATAACCCAGGCTAACTAAAGGATTTCATAGTAAGTTAGGGAAGTAAAGACTATTATTGTGGATTACCCTTTCACAGTAACAAAACATGATGTTTTACTGCACACCCTTGCTAAGGCTTCTGAATTGTGATTAAAAGAAATAGAACAGATCTGGTTCTAGAGGAGAGAGTAAATACAAGCACACTTGAAATAGCTCCAACATTCAGACTACTTACAATGCTATGAACATGCCTTTTAAAAAAATACCTCCCCCATGAAACTCAACCAAAGTTACAAACTTGATAAATTTGAATGCATGTCAAGTAAACTAATAAGGAAGAAATAAAGCTAACCTAAAAAGGAAGAGTCCATACAGCAGAATGAAAACATAAAAGGGATGGAAAGGCCCAAATGAAATACCTGCCTTTAAGCAATGTCTTTGCATTCTCTCTGCTTTTTTGTAATGTAATCAAAGCCATTAAGAACCTATATATAGCTCAGTGTCTCTTTGGACAGCAAAAAACAACTCAGCAACACAACTAAGTCAATCCCTTCTTCTACAACACAGTATGTTTTTAATTAAGAAAGAATGCTAGGATGAAGGAGACCTTACAAGTTCAATAAGCTGAGAGCTATGGAAGTGGGGGGAAAGGGTTAAGCTTTTTATCATAAACTTCACATGTTTTATGTTAATGTAACTATTTAAGCCCTTTCTTGCCTTTCTGATCATGTCTTTTGACAGGAAAGGGAGTATTTGTTTTGTCTGATTTTAACTCTGAAGGAACTAAGTTAGAACTATCCAAAAATGTCTATTCTTTATTCTGACCTCTGCCTTCCAAAAGGAGCAGTTTAGGCATAATGCATTTTGCAGAGAACGGAAGTATGAAATTCCCTTTCTAATAGAAAAATCTTACCTGGGTAATCATTCTTGTCTACATCTGAGTCTCCTCTTAGAGTGAAGCCAAATCCCGAAGGCATGGACTGTGAGGCCCATGCTCCATTGAGAACCTGGGAAGGGTTAGTATTTAACCCATTACTATATCCATTGTAAATGAGCACTTTCCCTCTTCTGTCTTCTCCTGCAAATGGTGCACCAATAGCAATGTCTGTAGTGCAATAAAATAATAAAAGGAATGGACACAATTAAAATAAAGAAAAAATTAAGTCCCTGCAGGAAAACAGACGTAAATGGCTTCTGCTACATACATGCAAGAACTTCAATGTTCTGTACTTCTGTATAGACTCTAGTTTTAAGATAAATATACAAAAATGTTTGTAGTGTCTTTTCTGGGTCAAACTTTCATGAAAAAAGCTTATAAAATCATCCTATGAAGGGGTTATTGCATTATACTAAATAGCCAGTCCACACTGGATTCCTCTACCATGTTTCCAGGGCATTTAATAACCTTTAATAAACCAAGATCTAATGAATGCCTGCTTCTACTTCCATATTTTTAAACAGACACAAATTTTTCCTGATTTCCTCTATCACCAATTAATAAGGAACCACTGTTAGATAAAATTAATTTTCTTTTTCCAGATAAAATACTCAACATGGACAAAAATCGCATCCCCCTCAAACATCCAGTGCTTTAGTATGCAAAAGAGAACAATGGAATATAATGTTTTCATCTATACCAAGCCAACATCTTATTGAGAAATGGGAATAGTACTAAGTCAGGAATTTAACAGAAGGCCTTGGGCATTATGCAGTTAAGTGCAATCCTTAAAAAGTTATGTGCCATATCCAAGAAGTGTAACTCACAATGTTCTTAGTTCCTACGCAGGGGATGTAGACAGAATTGTGTGTCTCACTGAGATTCAACAGTGGCACTAGTTTAGCTCGCCAAAAGCAAACACTAGAGGAGGATACACACCTACAGTTCTCATTTTTAGGTTCTGATCTAGCAGCTGGTGCTAGACTCCATTATTAAACTTGAACTTTAGCATATGGAAGTTGTACCTTCACTCTAAAGGCAGGAGTGCACCAAAGCTCTGTGACTGGCATCTTCAGCTATGAAGCAGAAGACTTTGGCTCTAGATCCTTCTTAGCCTTCTCTCTACAGTGAGAGAGAAAAGCAGGAAAAATGCAGGAATGTCTTCTCCCTGCCTTACCAGAATGCTGGAGAGCAGGGATACAAACCTTCCCTGCCCAGATAAACTCAGGGTATCTACTACTGCTCACAGGTAGAAAACAGGAAGCCTCTACCATGGGGTCCAGCTGGGCTGAACTCTATGGTGGGATTCCAGGACAACCCAGTGAGGGCATTCTCAGCAGCCACAATCCAGTGGCTTCTACACACAGGATGGTATTTTGGATTTTGTGTGCCCTGAACCCCAATACAATTCTATGGATCCTGACATGCTTATCCCTTGCACAGGAGCCACACATTGGTGACACTGCCCTAGAGTCTAGTGGCTAAAGGACCATGAAAACCAGCCCTCAAGTTAAGAAGGAGCTAAATCCACTAATTTTTCCTTAGTGGGACAACAACCTTTAAGGCTACTGTTCAAAATACCTTCTTCAGGAAAAACTCCTTGCAGTTTTGATGCAAAGATGCCTGCTTTGCAGATCCCTATCATCCTGGAAATAAGAAGTAATGAAATGCGTGCAGGGAAAACCAGGGTTTTACTGACCATGTCTATGTGCTCAAGGCATCCAGACTATCTCAGATAATTAAGCAAGTTAGTTTACTTGGGACTGTTTTCCTGAATTTAGGCTCCCAGTTAACTTACAGAAACATTTTGTTGTATGTGTGTGCTACAGGCATTTGAAAAAGGTCCTATTATGTACCTGTTTCCTTCAGTGCCTAACTACCCATGGAAGTCTGATCCAAAACAGTACATCTGTATTTGTCCAATTCTTTCATTGTGAGCAAAATCCTCCATTTACTGAGCCTCATTCAATTCTCAAACTCATCCAAGCATTTGAGGAGAGAAGGAGAACTCTGCTTTTAAACAAAAGCAGTATTTTAACTAAGTATTTAAATGTAATTATAGTCATAAAACAACATAAAAACAATTTTTATTCAAATGAACATGCCAATAAGTAGTAAAAAATCGCACTGTAGTCAATATGACTGTCCTCCTATAGGTAAGCTTTTAATGGTTTGGCCCTCAATATCAGTTTCATTAGGATGAATTCTCCTGTAAATTCTCTTGACTTTCAAAGGCAGTTTCATGTTAAAAAGCCTTTTTCAGGCACTGCACAGACACTTCATGTCAACTGCTTAGCCATTTTTAATTTCAATATTACACAGAGATATATATTACTACATTACACGTAAATTACCGTTATATCCATCTTGATTGAGATCTCCAAGGTGCGTGATTGCACTGCCAAATCTACCAAACACTTCAGTGCCTGTCAGAATTTGCGCATCTCGGAAGAGGAAAGCACTTTCTTGCAGGTACAGATAAACTTGCCCAACTTCTTTAGGCTTGCTCTCAAATTCTCGTTCCATAAAGAGAGGAGCGCCAACTAAGATATCATCTAAACTGGAAAAGTCAAACAAAAACCAGTGTCACTGAGAGACTGAGTGCAATCAACACAGTTCATGCACTTGTTAAACAGGAAGCTGATAATTATCATAGAGTCATAGACTAGCTGAGGTAAGAAGGCACTTCTGGAATTCTTCTGGTCCAAACACTTGGTCAAAACATGGTCATCTAGGGAAGGCTGCCCAGGACTGTGCTCCAGTTTTGAATATCTCCATGGATGGAGACTCCACAACCTCTCTGGGCAACTGCTTCCACTGTTTGATCATCCTCACAGCAAAAACATTTCTTCCTAGATTTAAATGGAATTTCTACACTTCAATTTATGCCGAAAATAGATACTGAAAAGCTATACTTCGCAGTTTATGATCTAGAAGTTAGGAATTTAACTCAGAGGGATCCATGTTACCAGAACAAATTCTGTAGATCTATCCTGCTAAGAGTGCTAGTGAGAGATAAATTTTAGTATAAAACCTAGCTTTTAAAAATTATACATCAATAAGCGAACAACAGGAAAAAACCCACAACTTTACAGCATATTTTTGAAGTAATATACATGTAACACGGGTAGAACATCAATTAATAGAGAATGCCTCAACACAAATTCAAATGGAAGCTGGGAGACAAACTCAAAGCTTTATTTCTGAAAACACTTCTGTTGAGTATTAGATACACGAGTAGCTGCAGTGCTCACATAATTGCTGTATTAAAGAGAGAAAGGACATAATAAAATCACAAAAATCTGAGGTTTAGAGGGAAAAGTCCTTCTATGCATTTTGCTACTCCAAGAAGAATCAGTAAAAGAGGACAGACTAATCAAAGGATATTTTGCATGTTCTAAGTGGGGGAGTTTTGAAAGATGTTACAAACATTTATTTAGCATTGAAAAAGACTCTTTACTGAACAGTAAAAATAAAAAAAAAAGACTGATAGACACATAACAAGCTGAAATATTCTTAACAGATTATTCTGAGATATGAAATGATAATATCAGATTAATTGCTGAAGGTTGTTCAAGCCCATACAGACTAATAGGATATTTCCCATTATAGTCAGTGGACCCTGGTCATCCATATTAAGGAACTTTGCCGCTGCAAATAACTAGTACTACTCGATCCCAGAATTTTTAATTTGGAAAACACACTCTCGTTCTAACATGAAACTTTGTTCAAACTTCGTAAAACTGGTGGAAAACCTTCTACTCTCCATTCTTCATATTCCCAACAGTGACGTTTTCACAAAGGCTTTATCTGTTAGTAAATCAATTAGCAAAATTGTACCTCATTGTTTTTCCTAATCCTGATAGGAAAAAACCCATATGATTTAGGAGTAGCTCAGCTAGTACTTCACCCTAGATATATACTATGGTTCTAAGATATATAGCACAGAATTTAGTACAGAGTATCTCATCTAGAAACCTTTTAATCACATTGTAGAATTTACACATTCTATAAATTTTGACAAAGTACTTCTAGAAATGTTATTTTTCTATTAAGTTTTACAGTATGTTTCCATAAAGGAAACTGTAATTAAAAATATCAGGTCACTTCAGTACAGTTGTTCTATTCTTTATACATCAGATTTTACCCCATGGCATGAATAACTAAAAAAGAAAGGAAGCAGATGCTGACTTAACATCAAAGGTGGGATTTTCCTTTCACAATAAACATCAAAAGTCCTCTTCCACTAATGGAAGATGTTCGCGGTTGGGACAGAATGTCAGTTGAAGCAGTTGCCATGAAACAATAGCAATAACAAAAACAGATCATGAATGCTCCTTTTTTTATAAGTTATTTTACAAATGCCATGTACTAAAAGCATTACAGAGTAGCACTATCATCCATTATTATTTTATTACATCACAATCCAGATATTCTCAGTAATACTGGGAACAGGAACCCCATGTTGTTATGTGCTGTATAAACCATTAAGTAAAAGATGAGCTTGGCTCCAGTGAATATTTTAAAAATGAAGGATTGTAAAACGAAGGGAAGATTTTTTTAGAGGTGGTAGGGAACCAAAAGATTCAGAGTCAGGAAGCTCCTGGTACGTTGATGCAAAATAAGTAGATACCTAGATACCTTTAAAACTCTGGTCCATAGAGCAATATCCAGAGTGCCTAAAAGGGGGAAAAGAGAGAGGCAGACTATCTATCATCCACGATGGCCTAAAATTCTCTAAGCAGAAGCCTAATGGAGAATACAATATTCACCAGGTGAGACAGAAAGCAAGCAGACAGAGGAGCTGGAGTCTGTTGTGCAGCGATTACAGCATCTCAGCTGGAAGTGCACAGTGCTGGGTTATTTTTCTCACAAAATTTCTACTTTGTTAAAATAAATGACAATGATTGTATCAAATGCATGAATAGTCCAGGGAGCAGGGACCAGAACCCAGTAGCTAAGAAGGTTCATCTTCTGATACGCTGAGGGCAAGGTAGGAGGAAGGCAGTCATCTAAACTACACTGACCTATCTCTAAACTGGTTACAGGCAGATAATCTACCTGGAACACCCACAGCACTTAGTTTGCATTGCCTCCAAGTCTTGGCCAGTCCCACACACAACAAAGCCTTCTTTTCCTCACCCTCTTGATTTTCCCCCTTCTCAGTGTGGAACTCTGTCAGTCAAGGCAAGCTGCTTCAGCAAGTCCTCTGCAAGAAGGAATTCTCCCTCAAGTGAGAGAGAATTTATAGGGTTTTGGGTTCACTGGCACTTTTCTGAGGGGGCTTTTTTGGTTTGGGTTTTTGTGCTTTGTTTCATTCTCCCCCACACACTGTCACAGCAGTGTGATAGCCAGAAAGGAAGGATTCTTCAGCTACCCTGCTCTCTCTGATCCTCCTTTACTTATTCCTTTACCCCCCATGTGGGTAATAAGCAAGCAATTCCTGCTTACCAGGCTTTATAGTCAGTTTTACCTTCCAGCTCCTACAGTTTAAGTATTTAGACACCAAGCAGTCAAGAGGGGTCACTTGTTTGGTTATAAGTACCTATGTGATTAGAATTACGTATTTTTGTATTTTTGTTGGTGAGGGAGGATATTTCAATTGGCTTTTAAATTGTAAGACTTTATATTTACAAAATTGGAGTTCTGAGCCAAATTCAGGTTGATGTGATCCCTTTTAAAGGCCATAACAGCAAAATAAAAGCAAAAGCCCGTGGACAGTAATATTAAACCATAAAGTGCAGTTCAGTTTGAAGTGGTATTTTGAACTAGCTCATTAGATTTACTTAATTAATGCACTGAGATGTTGCAGTTAACATAAGTTATGTATTTATTTTTATTCCAGCACAGAAAGGTAACCAGTCAGCATTGCTTCCCTTTTGATTAAAAAAATCTTTAAAAACCACAAGCTGACCACCTGCTGAGACTGTATGCAGTTTCGCTGTACTCTGATGAGTAATAAAAAGCCAGAGTATGGGAAGTGTCAAAAGGTCAAAGAATAACTATGGGAAGCTTTGATACAGGCCAAATAAAAGACCAGTAAACAGTTTATTTCACTATTTTTATCGGACTGTTTCAGTTTAAATTGGAAATGTTCTCTTTTTTCCTCTTTACTAGGAATGTAGTCTTTAAGTTGATGGTAAAGCTTGATTTGTTAAGATTCATTGTGGATTTCTCATTATTACCAGTGGGTAACTAAAAGGCAGTTCAAATAATATCCTCAATTTCCCTGTTCTGCCTACAATCCTGACATGGTGCAGATAACACTGCAGGAGTCACCCTGGAGCACCCGCAGAACTGCTGGAGCTTTTTTCCTAGGATAAGCCAAATCTTTGAGACACGTCTTCAGTCATATTACAGTAAAGCATCATTCTTATTAATCTTTTGAGCACATAACTTAATCAGGTTTCTCATACTGATAAGACCATCACTACCTCCTTTTGTCCTTAGCTGTGCAAAAAAACCCAAGTGAATGTGAAGTGGTCATTTCCCTTTTCCCTTTTTTTCCCTCTCTGTTTTACTCTCCTGTTCAGATAAATATTTCTATCAATTATCTGTGCAAACCAGCAAAGACAGACTACACATCTAATCAGATATGTTTATCAAGTAGAGCCTTTGTGTTTTGTTTTCTGTGGGATGTTTGAATCTCAGAGAGAGTAATTAGATTTCTTTTAAGATACAGACTGGGAGACCACACAGGCTTCAACAGCAGTTTGATTATATTATTGATATAAACTGTAGTCTTAGAGGTACACAGAAAATATAAGACCTGCCAAGTAACCCTATGGTTCACCGGAAATAACCTGCACAGGAAATTGTTTGGTTCAGTGAGAAGTTAAATAGCAAGTTCCCTGAGAGTCTATTGTGACTGAGTGTCTATTGTAACTTAGATCAATGTTTCTCCACCCTTTTACATTAATATTGCATTATGGTAAGAGTAAATTAATCCTGACTCTATATATCATAAAAATAAGAATTTTCAAAAGCCATGGTACTAGGACAAAATTTGACCTCAGAAACTTGAAAATATTTGAGTACTATGAAGCTTCCACAGAAACAGTTGAAGCTGTTTCTTTGTTTTGGAACTGCAATAACATTTATAATCTTGTTACTTTTCTCTTGTCTTGTATCCCTCATTCTTTAAAGGGTCACTGACAGGAAGCAATGATTTAGCCCAGAAAAATTATTTAATGCACTATGTTTAAGCACCTACTAAGAAATAATCACAAGAAAAAAATATGAAGTAAACACATCTGAGAGATTTTGCAATAGGCAAGAGTATACCACAGCTCTAAATGTAATCCTGGCTCACCTTTGTGCAGACTTCCAAGGCTCTGAGCTTCGGGCATCTTTATCTCCTTGCTAGAAAGCTAGTATCAATATTCACTTACTAAAGTCCTGATCTTCTAAACCATTTAATCAGACTTTACATGAGTTCAAAGCTAGCAAGCATTTTGCTCAACAGGGCCTGAAATCCCCGAGTGTCTTAGGCGTAACCCTGGGAGCGGAGCAGCATCCTCCCTCAGACAAGCACAATGCCTGTCATAACAACTACAGGCCATAGACAATATTTGGTCCTGTGGATGATGAAAATGGATGCCCAACTAGCAGGTGCTGGAATGAGGAGGTAATGATATCGGAAAGCTTTAAAAATTGAGGAGTGAAGCTATGGATGGTCCACATGTGAGAAGTCTTACCTGCTTTTGAGAATGGGAGAAAAAACTTTTCACTGTCACCTATCTCTTGCCAGCAGTAGCTAGCACTGTTAATTCACTGTTCTTCTACCTCTATCTGTTTCTTAAGACTTTGGGCATTCCCACTCTGCCACACTGCTTTGAATACATATTTAGGAAGATAAACTCATCAAGACTAGGCCTGCAAATATTTGTGCCACTGTGATTGCACAAAGATAAGCCATGTGAGCAGTTATAATTAGAAAAGCAGAGAAGCCAAGAGAAGCATTTTGAGGTATAAAGCACCTGAAAACCTGTGTTTATTTAAATACCAGGCATTGCTTCTACAAATGTTCAGTGGAGCTGAATATATTTGGTAACCTACCCATCATTGTTAACATCAGATACTGCAACAGTGTACCCAAAATAAGACGCCATCTGGAAATAAAAAACAACAGGTAGGCTTTCATATCAGATATACATTTTTAAAAAGTTTTTACTGATAATCCTCTTTGTTTCTATGGTTATTAATTCTAAAAAATATTTTATATATTCTTAAAACTATGTTAATGAAACTATATCCTCTAGAGATGTAATATTTCACTATGTAGTTGCTTGACATTACCTGTTCACCAGTGAAGTTCTGGATAAAGGTCAAGTCTGAAGAATTAATAATTGAGACCTGGTAACAGAAAAACATAGACATATTTTCAAGCATACATGGAGGTACTACAGTGTACCATCAGTGCAAGCCAGTTTGACACACTGAAGGACAGCCCAAGTGGCCAAGACAAAACAACAATTCTTTTCTGTCTCTCCACAGTTTTCCTATACAATCTTGAACCAATCACTAAGATTTTTGAGTCTCAGGTTCCCCATGAATAAAATGTGGGAAAAGACTACTTTCCTTCTTTACCGGACACTGAACAGCAGCAAATCACAGACTGACTGCTAATTAGTGACTACATTATCAGGCATGAGAACATGAACTTAAAACATAAAGAAATACATACATGCATACATACATATATATACACACACATATACACTCCTTTCTTCTGAAAAATGGCGTAAGTTCACTTCTGAGTAAGTCCCAGAGACACAAGGAGTTTTGGGACCACAAAGCTAAGAACATGCCTGTGGCTGGGATCTCTATTTCTCACTCAGGTTTGTTCTGAAACTTTTATTTCCTATGAGGTAAAAGCTGTACCCACACAGAAATATTGTCTGCTCCCTTCACTTCTAACTGCACATCATGACTCTGCATCTGGTATTCAGGGTATATACTTACAACATATGTGTAAGCTTAGGTCTGATAACGCTCAGTGGGTATAGGGAGGGATACCAGTCATAATCAAAGCACGCTTGGCTATTGAAAACAGACTTCAGAAGAGGCCAAGCACTTAATATTCAAACTCTAAAACTGTAAGGCATTTCAACTCAGTCAGGTAAGCCTGAGGGTGAAAGTCAGTGGCAGTTTTCTCTCTAATTAGAAAGTGTAGGATCAAAGAGACAGAAAATATAATGTAGCCTTTAACCTTACAAATAGCCTAACTGCCTTCTCACTATAAAAAGGATAAAACGTGGGTCCAGTACATACATAGCCAAAGTTCTGTGCTCCCCTTGGGACTCCAGCAACCAACTCTGAAAAGATAAATGTTCAACAGTGAGCTGTTACACTGAGTGCTGCACGCAATAAACATTCCATGCCACTTAAATCTTTCTTGATACATAACCATTAGGATTTTTACTTATCTGTATCAGAAACATCTGCAAATCGCTTAAAGACATAAATTCATAAGATTTTAACATTCACTCAGTGCATCTAGTTTCATTAAATATTACATCTTATCTGTTGAATACACTCATCCAGAGACCTCTTTCTGCCTAGCATTACTTAGCATAGCACAGTATAATAAAGCTCTTAGTACAATTCAGTTTGTTACCTGACAGGTGTGGACTGACGGGACCAGAATTAGTTCTGGTGTCCCACACTAGAGTACAGAAGCTAAATACAACTGTCCTTACAAATACTCTTTTCTTTCTGGCTGCACAACAGTTTGTCTCCTTTGTTATTTGGCTTGATGCCATGAAAGTGTTTGACAAGTTCTGCACACGTTATTAAAAAGCATTAAATGGAAATTTTGTGAGTGGCATTGGAGGGATTCATTGAACAAGAACATGAAACATTGGACCTATCTGCCTTCTAGGGTGTAATTCTGCTCAACGGTGAAATCTTAGAAAGATTATTGAGTCCAACTGTAAACCCAACACTGCCAAGTCCACCACTAAACCATGTCCCTAAGCACCACATCTACATGTCTTTTAAATATCTCCAGGGACAGTGACTCAACCGCTTCCCTGGGCAGCCTGTTCCAATGCTTGACAACCCTTCTGGCAAGAAATTTTTCCTAATATCCAATCTAAACCTCTCCTGATGCAACGTGAGGCTGTTTCCTCTTGTTCTATTGCTTGTTACTTGGGAGAAGAGACCAACATCCAGGTCTCTGCTCAGCCTCCTTTTCTCCAGACTAAACAACCCCAGTTCCCTCAGCTGCTCCTCATTAAGACTTGTGCTCTAAACCCTTTACCACCTTCACTGCCCTTCTTTGGACACACTCCAGCACCTCAATGTCTTTCCTGTAGTGAAGGGCCCAAAACTGAACACAGGACTTGAGGTGCGGCCTCACCAGTGCTGAGTACAGGGGGAATGATCACTGCTACAGTCCTGCTGGCCACACTATTTCTGATACAGGCCAGGATGCCATTGGCTTTCTTGGCTGTCTGGGCACACTGCTGGCTCATGTTCAGCCGGCTGTCAACCAACAGCCCCAGGTTTTTTCCCGCCAGGCAGCTTTCCAGATGCTCTTCCCTAAGCGTATAACGTCGCATGGGTTTGTTGTGACTCAAGTGTAGGACCCTTGGCCCATCAATCCAGCCTGTCCAGATCTCTCTGTAGAGCCTTTTTGCCTTCAATCAGATCAATACTCCTGCCCAACTTGGTGTCATCTGCAAACTTACTAAGGGTGCACTCAATCCCCTCAAACAGTACTGGCCCCAAAACTGAGCCTGGGGAACACCACTTATGACCAGCTGCCAACTGGGTTTAACTCTGTTCACTGCAAGTCTTTGGGCCTGGACATTCAGCCAGTTTTCCATCCAGTGAAGAGTACACCCATCCAAGCCATGAGCAGCCGCTGGTTTCTGCAGGAGAATGCTGTGGGAAACAGCATCGAAGGCTTTACTAAAGTTCAGGTAAGCAACATCTACAGCCTTTCCCTCATCCACTAAGCAAGTAACCTTGTCATAGAAGCAGATCAGGTTACTCAAGCAGGACCCATAAACCCATGCTGACTAGGCCTGATTGCCTGGCTGTCCTGCACATGCTGTGGGCTGGTGTGATGGCACTCAGGATGATCTGCTCCATAACCTTTCCTGGAACCAAAGTCAGACTGACAGGCCTGTAGTTTCCTGGATCCTCCTTCTGGGCCTTCTTGCAGATGGGTGTTGGATTAGCTAACCTCCAATCCACTGGGACCACCCTGATTAGCCAGGACTGCTGATAAATGATGGAAAGTGGCTTGATGAGCACTTCCACCAGCTCCCTCAATACCCTTGGGTGGATCCCACCCGACAAGTTTTTAACCATTCCCCTTTGGATTATGGAGGCTTCTTGCTGCTCCCCATCCCTGTCACCAGCTCAGGGGAATTGGTACCTGGAGAACTGGTCTTACTAATAAAGACTGAGGCAAAGAAGGCACTAAGTACCTCAGCCTTTTCCTCATCCTTTGTCACTGTGTTTCCCCCTTCATCCAATAAAGGATGGAGATTCTCCTTCGCCCTCCTTTTGCTGCTAATGTATTTATAGAAACATTTTTTGTTGTCTTTTATGGCAGTAGCCAGTTTAAGCTCTAGTTGGGCTTTGTCCCTTCTGATTTTCTCCCTACATACACTAATAGTAGCCTTCTAGTCCTCCTGAGTCACCTGCCCCTTCATTCAAAGGCCATAAATTCTCCCTTTTTTCCTGAGTTGCAGCCAAAGTTCCAGCCAAAGCTCTCTGCTCAGCCAGCCCAGTCTTCTTCCCTGCTGGCTCATCTTTTGGCACATGGGGACTACCTGCTCCT